AACTATTTACCATCCCAGCCCAACAGGTATCGCCCCCCCCCGCCGCCATCCCCTGCAAAATATACTATGCGCGCGCACTCGTCGAGCACAAATAATATGTTTTCAAGAACCCCGGCAACAAAATGACGATGTGCACACGCGCGCGTCGTCGCGCGCGCATGCCGGAATCCTTCAAAATCTTATGGTTTCGGAAGGATTTCAAAATCGAGCGTCCAAACAACATACAACACATCAGATTTCGCAGCACGGATTTTCAAGTAGCCTGGCCAAGGACCCAACCATATGCAGTTGTGAGCACCGACGTTGTATGCACCGCATTCGGAGGAGCTCCCTATAGGGCCGCGAAACGTGTGAGCGGTGTGCCAAAATTTGTCCGGTGGGCGCACGCGAAAGCAGCCACTGGTGCTGTCGGTGGAATTCCCTATGGGGCCACGACGCGCGTGAGGGGTGCGCCGAAATTGGCACGGTGGGCGCATGCGAACGCAGCCACTGGGGCCTTCGGTGGAGCTCCCTGTGGGGCCGCGAAGCGTGTGATGGGTCTGCCGGAATGGGTGCTTCTGGGGCGCATGCGAACGCAGCCACTGGCGCCTTCGGAGGAGCTCCCATAATGGAGGATGATGATTAAATCAACGACCGGGGGTCGTGTTCACGCGGCGGCGCCTGGGGTGATGATTAGAAAAAACCGGCCCCGGGCTGGGAAACTATTTTTTTTATCGTCCCCCCCCCGCCGTCCTCGGGCGCGCGCCCTCCCCGCGGTGGAAGTTTCCCTGAGCTTCGTCACAGGGTAGCTCTGCCTATGTGATCGTCACAGGCGGGCGCTTTCTTTGACCCTCGTCAGAGGGGAGCGCTGCCTGCGTGGTCGTCACAGGCGTGCGCTTTCCTTGCGCCTCGTCACAGGGGAGCGCTGCCTGCGTGGTGTCACAGGCGGGCGCTTTCCTTGCGCTTCGTCACAGGGGAGCGCTGGCTGCGTGGTCGTCGCAGGCGGGCCCTGTCTTTGAGCCTCGACACAGGGGAGCCCTGCTTGTATGGTCGTCACAAAGGCGGGCCCTCTCATTCAGATTCCACACCACGGGACGCTGCCTGTGTGGTCGTCACAGAAGCGGGCCCTCCCCTTGTGTCTCGTCACAAGGGAACGCTGCCTGCGTGGTCGTCACAGGCGGGTGCTTTCCTTGCGCTTCGTCACAGGGGAGCGCTGCCTGCGTGGTCGTCGCAGGCGGGTCTTTTTTTGAGCCTCGACACGGGGAGACCTGCTTGTGTGGTCGTCGCAGAGGCGGGCGCTCTGTGACGACCGCACAGGCGAACCCTGCTTCTGAGCGTTCCCCCCCCGGTGTGGGAAACTATTTTTTGAATCCTTCCTCCTTTCTTGTTTTCTTAATCGTCATCCCACATTACGGGACCACGAAACGCGCGAGGGGTGTGCCAGACTGGGCGTGGGTGACGCATGCGGGCGGTGGCGCTCGTGGGAGCTCCGTATGGGGCCACGAAGCGTGTGAGGGTTGTGGCGACATGGGCGTGGGTGACGCAAACGGGCGGTGGCACTGGTGCTTTCTGTGGAGCTCCCTGTGGGGCCACGAAGCGCGTGAGGGGTGTGCCAAATTTGGATTTGGAGACGCATGCGGGCGGTCTCACTGGGGGCTTCGGTGGAGCTCCCCATGGGGCCACGAAGCGTGTGAGAGTGTGCCAAATTCGGTTTTGGGGACGCATGCGGGCGGTCCCTCTGGGGGCTTCGGTGGAGCTCCCTGTGGGGCCACGAAACGTGTGATGGGGTGTGCCAAATTGGGTTTTTGGGGCGCATGCGGGCGGTCCCACAGGGGGCTTCGGTGGAGCTCCCTGTGGAGCCACGAAGCGTGTGAGTGGTGTGCCAAATTGGGTTTGGGGGGCGCATGTTGGCGGTCCCACTGGGGGCTTCGGTGGAGCTCCCTATGGGGCCACGGAACATGTGAGGGGTGTGCCGACTTGGGTCTGGGGGACTCATGCGGGCGGTCCCACTGGGGGCTTCGGTGGAGCTGGGACCGTCTCTTCAAAACGAGGACTCAACACCACAGAATGGTTGGGAGCAAAACTTGCGCGCGATCTTGCGAATTCTTTGGCAAAGAACCATCGGTTTTCCAATCTAGTCATAACATGCTACCATACCGGATTCGCGCGCGCATGTCGAAATCGTCCGAACGCCCTTGCGCGCGTGCTGGGGTGGCACGATCCGCGTTAAATAATACCATGCTTCCACTCTCGCGCGTCTGCCGCGCGCATGTCGAACTCCTTCCAAAACCTGCACCACCGACGCGAAGACGGCGTCATCGTCGTCGGTGTTATCAGCATCTGCGCCGTCATTGGTTGCCCCGTCGTCGCTGTCAGCATCGCCACCAGCATCGTTACTATCATCATGGTGTCTACTGTTGTCGACGTTGCCATGCTACCGCGCCCGCCCAAATCGCCGACTCGCGCTGAAGTACCCGCTGGGGCTGGGACGCGCCGAGCGGTCGGCGCCACGGCGTCCGCGTCAGTTGCGCGCGCGAGCATGAGTGGGTCAATGCGGCTACACAGACGCACCAGCCAACACCAAACAATCATCGCAATCGCTTCCGCATTGGTTTTGCAAACCAAGTTGCGGTTGGGTCGGTGGGATGATTGCGCGAGCAGTGGAGTCGACAACTTCAAGTTCGGCAATGTGAATCGCACCGCCTTTATCGCACCACTTAGATTTTCATTTCTAAAAAGAAAATAGGTTCTACCACCCTCCCCCCCTGGGGTTAAAGACCCCCCGGGGACCGATGCAACACACATAGGACTCTGACCCAATGTCCATCCTACGGGTGAGTTCATTTTCTCCCAGCCAGGCCGGTATGGACCCCCCGCCATCCTCAGCAAAAAATTATATGTGCGCACATTCGCTTATCGAAAATCATAAGTTTTCAAGACTCCTTTGCAACACATTGGACGAAGTGCACACGCGCGCGCCGTCGTGCGGTCATGCCGAAGTCCTTCAAACAATCTGTTTCGGAAGGATTTCAAAATCGAGTTTCACAAACAGAAAACATACAAAACGCACAGGGTTGCGCAACACGGAATTTATAAGAAAGGTTACGTGCACGCTCTTGCGACCTCGTGAGGAAACCATCGGTGTTCCAACATTTTCAAAACAAATATTACCAAACGTGCTTCGCGCGCGCATGCCAGAATCTTTCGCACGCCCTTGCGCGCGTGCCGTCGCGAGAATCCTCTGCAACAAATGTGACGAAGTGCACGCGCCCGCGCCGTTGCGCGCGCATGCCGAAATCCTTCAAAAACGCTCGTATTCGGAAGGATTTCAAAATCGAGTGCCCAAAAGTCATACAAAAACACGGGGTTTCGCAACACGGATTTTCAACCAAATGCGTGCGCGCGCGCTGTTGCGTCGTAATCGTCGTCGCCGTCCTCTTCGTCCTCTGTTTCCTCGTCGTCGTCGTCGTTGGCGTCGTCGTCGTTTCCGTCGTCGTTGTCGCCGTGGTCGTCCTTCCTCCTCCCTCGTCGTCGTCCGTCGTCGACGTCTCGTCGTCGTCGTCTTCGTCATCGTCGTCGTCGTCGGTGTCGTCGTCGTCGTCGTCGTCGTCGTCGTCGTCATTGTCGTC